TTGGGGTTTTCCCCTTCTTTTTTTTAATTTTTCCTTTTGGGAGGGGGGAATAAAATGCAATTCAAAACAGTCAAGAATTATTTAAGACTTCTGCATGAAGTGCTGAACCTGTTACACTGTTTGGGTTAAGATCAATAATATATAGCTGTTGCTAGACAATACTAGACTAATCCTAATGGTAAATGCTTCTGTAAAATCTATCACGTGTTACAAAAATATCACAGAAGATAACATGATTCACCACAGAAAAAGAGCATACTGGCAGCAGGTATCCTAAAGCATATTCTGACAATCCCAAAGCCTCCCAAAGTGAATGAAGTGAAAAAGCAGGCTTCCAAACCACATTTTCCATGTGTGCTCCAGCTCCCGCAAAGCGAAAGCATGCGGAGGAGTACAGACCAGCAAAGCATCCAACACCCAACACGCTTTCCTCTCTCCTGAGTCTTTCTGAACTAAGACAACTCAAACAAATCCTTATTTACGTTACAGATTTGCATTTTAAAAGTCGGGGAGACAGATTCCCTGGTCCTTGCTCAGAATCTGTGGAATGCCCTGCTTGGTAGAACCAACCATGCAGAGAGAGATGTCGTTTCTCCAAAGGCTTTCACTGGGAACATTTTCCAGTGCTTATTTCCAAACATTGGCAGGCCAGGCAACAGTTGTATGTTGTTGTTGTTATGGTTATGATTACTATTACAGCTAGTACTTCAAATATTGCTACTAAATGATTGCAAAGGAGGATTGATCCTTAAAGAAGCTGCTAACAGTGTAGCTCCCCTTCCAGCTTTTATCTATATATCGGTATTCTTTTGTTTAAGGAGAGCTTTTTCTAAACAAACCTGGCACAAAAGGTTTCAGTAATTAGTGATGGATTCAAGCAATATAGCCATTCAAATATGGCTGTGCTCTGATCTACAATGAGCTGATCAAACACTAGAAAGCTAATTATTTCAGACACTGTATAGTGATCACTAAGCCCAAATGTGAACATCTACAACCAAAACAGGTATTATTTTATGCATTGGAAGACAGTCTCATGATCTCCATGTATCAAAGCAAGTACATATAACACGTGAGCTTTCCAAAGCAACTTTAACTACTGGTGCCCACTACCAGGAGGTATCGATGTGAACCAGTTCAGCATTTCAAAATATAAGCAGGCTAGTGTACTTGTTCTCAAACTCAAAGAAACAGCAGTTTGCATTTGAAATATAATTTGTGAAAAAGTATGTGAAGAATGCAGCAATGTAGTTATTTCTTGGATAATCAGTGCTCAGCTCTGCTCTCAATGAAATAAATGATTAGTTTTGTGCTGTCTCAGGGGGACAAGGCTTCTGCCTGTACCAAGTGAGGACCCACTTTGAGCTCTCCTTCCCTCAACTTCCATACCTTAAAAATAGTGATAATACTTTTCAAATGACTGATACAAGTTCATTCACCTCATCATCTATCTGCCTTGAAATAGTTAAGGGCTCTTTTAGAAAAATATTTCAAATAGTGCCAAAGAGCTGCTAGGGGTTTTCTTCCCTCCAGTTCAACCTCAAACTAGACATACTACGAATCTCATCACAGCACTTTCCATTTCGGATAAATTATTCTGGCTTAAAAAACAAAAAATAAAACAAATCTCTCTCAAAGCCTCACTTCCTTGGACAGGCAAGCAAGTGACACAAATGGCATGAAAGTAAATGCTGCTTTGCCATGGCTGATGGTACTTTCCTGCACAGCACACTGAGGCTACGAAGATGCTTCACAGAATGACAGCCTGTGGTCTCAGTCCAACAAGTCCTACTCAAAGGAGTAGCCTTTACTCACATCTGAAACAGCGCTGAATTTAATAGGATTGAAAGAGTACAAACTAGCCATGCAAACAAGCGCTTCCAAGGGTAAAACAAGAAAGACTAAAAATAAGAACTGATAAATATTTTGAAATATATACCTGTACTGGACAAATGGGCATTGCCTCTGTATTTCACAAATGCAATTTCTAACATCCCTTTCAGTAGTACGTACTGATATGAAAGCACTAAGGCACTGTATTTGTTGTTGCTTTTGAAGTGTAAGTCCTCACTGAATTCAACAGGGAGTAACGCTTAAAAGCATTCTACATGAAAGGCTGGTTTTGATTCTTTGTTAAAACTCAGTCACTTTATGAATGACAGAAATCTATACCAAAATTTAATCACTAATTCAGAATATTAAAAATTTTAAATGCTAAAATATTAAGCTACAAATTAACTTTGGTTTCTTAATCACAGAATATGTCTATTGCAGGAAAACATAGAATTTTTCCACACTTATTTATGCTTTATAGCTTGTTTTCACTTTCTGATGTATTACAAAGTGATAGAATTTGTTATGTAGTGAAAAACTTAATCTCTTTCCTTTAAATTTCCTGAAGAGAAACAATAATTTTTGTTATTACAGTGAGGATGTGATACAGCAAAAATTTTCAAGGACTTTGGCAGAATTAAACAAGCACTTGCTTAATCTTACAGATATGGCTTGAATTTTGCAGTTCTTAGTTACACAAAAGGTGTTGAATGGGAGTTTTGTCAAGCAGTCAGGATCTCAGCCACTAATAACCTCTCAGTTATTTTCTTTTTCTCATTAGTAGTCTAACAGCTAACACACTAATCTGAAGCTGCTATGGGATGCAAGATGAATTACAGCACACCAAACTTCCCCTGTGAAAGCAGGTGAAAAATCTCAGGCAGCATCTCTCAGATGCCACTCGGGGTGAGCTCCTGAGCAGGTACCAGCCCATGGGGCCACTGTGGCTCCAGCAGAGCTGGCGCTTTGCACCGCCGAGCTCTGGCCCCAAAATTAGCCCACAGCAATTCAAACAAAGGCATTTCGAGGAAGGCACTTTGAGAGGGGGTGATACCTGAGCCATTCAGGTGCTCTGGTGACTCAGTAAGGGGGGTGCAAGGAGCTGATGCCAGGAGGCTTTGCTCTGTGCCCCAGACTAAGCGTACACACCAAACCCTTTTCGGGCAGGAGCAAGGAGGATGGTGTTAGCCTGTTCCTCAGTGCCCAAGGAGAAGGGAGATGGCCCAAAGGGTGCCGTGGCTCCTTTAGTCACCTTTGGGAAATCTGCAGAGCTGAGAAAAAAAAGCCCCTTCAAACGTGCATCCAACAACTGCTGATTACACAGACAGAGGATTTGTAAGCCTGGCTTTAGTAGTTCTGAATTTTTATTGCCGGCATAGACCTTTCTCCTCTGCGTGAGAGGTGAGCTTCTTACATGATGTGAAGTGAAAATATAACGAATGGGTGCTTCAAAAATGTTGCTATTTACTTTTGTGAAACAGACTGAAATTCAGCATCACATGCTAGTCAGGTCAAGTCTTAAAATGTATGCTGCTTATTAAATGCCCCCTTTCTTAGGACTAACTGCTTCCAGTGTGGAAAAAGCACCAAGCAAATACTGAGTTTAATTTTTGCTCCAGAATCTTTTCATTTTGTCCCATCTTAAATCAGTTCTAGTTCCACACAAGTAAATTAACTTAAAAGAGCCTTTTCAATGATATTAAATAAGGACTGTTACAATAAAATTATCTCTGATTATTCAATATTTTGTTTTTCTGTTATTTTATGTCATGGAATCCTCAAATTATGTGTGATTTTCTTGGGTAAAATCAAGTAAGAGAATCAATGTTTTGTTAGGCTTGCACATATTCTAAATTGCTGATACCTTCCTGAAACATTCGAACAAATAGGAATCCAACAAATGTGGGAGTGAAATATTTTCTGAAGCTTCTTTTTAGACTATACACAATAATAAAAATGAAAACATGAAAGAGTGTTGTATGAATAACTATTTTTTATACATTCAGAGCTCTCTAATGGAGAGTTAATTAATATTTTCTAAATGTAGTAATTTCTTTCAGGAAAATAAAATCACTGAGAAGCACTGTAAAAACTGTGAAGAAGTTTCAGAAAAAATGCATATGTTAGCATCAACTGAAGCTAAAATGTCTGCTAACTATAAAGACAGATGTATAAAATGCTCTCACATGCAAATCCAATAATCATTTCAAAGTGCAACTCACAGCATTTTGTATATTTAAACAAGCATTATTATAAACAAAACTCTGAGCCTAGTGCACTGATACAGGACAATTATCCTATCATCAGAACACATATTTTTCCCCAGGCACAGATTTAATAAAGCAACAACATATACTAAAAAAAACCCCATAAATTTCTTTTAAAATTATATTAATTTGGAAACAGTAGTCTTGTAGCAACATATTGATTCTCGAGAAGAACAGTACTACTTTTGCCTTAGCTCTATCATCTCTTACAATTGACGGAGCTGTTAAAGAAAGTTTTCTTAAATTGTTAGAACACGTTTATTTTCTTGCAAATTAATTCTTTTTAACTCTTTATGATAGCTTTGAATCCCATAAAGAAAGATGAATTATCACATACTGAGCCCAAGCTGTGAAACAGGAGGAGACAAATAGAGACCCCTACTGTGTTTAACAATGTAGAAGAAATTCCAGACTCAAAAGAAAAAATTTCTGTCCTTTTTCTCAGCCCACAAAAGCTGTTAGCGCGGCTTTGAACAGTGGAGGGCACTCTTGCTATGCAAAACCCTGTGCTGACCTGGCACACTCGGTTAGCTCCATTCTGCAGCCTGAATCTCAGAATTTGTTGAGTAACAGCCACCTGTGGCACAGGCACTAGCTGTACTCTGGTTAAAACATTTGCAGTTTCTAATCTGTGCAGCGAAGCACTTCACTTTATCAAACACTGGGGCCTTTCTCTGTGGATGCAGTTGTGGAACAGATGCAAGCTTCACAAATTGTTTGTAATATCTGTGCAAGATATCGTATTAAATAAGACCTGTGCTATGTTTTCCAAAGTCATATAAACAGATACTCAGTTGGTTGTTATGGCATAGGTACAATAATTTCAGATTGGGCAAAATTCGTTCACAAATAATGTGGGTGTCTGTGGGAATTAAGTTTATTTGGAATGCATCAAGTTTT